GCGGGCTGGAGCACTGACTTTGGGTGCCCGCCCCGAAGGGCCGCGTCTCGCGACCCTGAAAGATCTCGTCCAGCAGCGTACTATGCAGCGGCGGCGGGCGCCCGCCATAACAACCGCTGTTGTTATTTGACAAACTGTCATCGTCGTCGATCTCGCGGCTACCGTTCCCGACTCGGTTGGACCGCGAAGGGTCGCCGCCATTTCTGTTAGCCAGTGGCGTCGCTCGCGGTTGAGCCTTCCCGTCCTGCTGCTGCATCAAGCCCGGATGATTCGTGTGGTAGAAGCCATTGACGAGCCCGAACAAGCTGCCGTCGGGGCCCCCGCCGGAAGCGTAACAACCCGCGCGCTTATCGGTCTCGGCGTCGTCGCCGCCATTGGCTCGGCTTCGGCCCGCGCCGCTCTTTGCGCCGTCGCATTCGCTGTCTACATCGCTGCAGTCGATGTACGGGATGGAAGAACTGCTGCCTTTGTTTGCCCGGCACGATGGACCTGGATTGAGGAGACGTTTGTCCGACGGCAAGCCCGTGCCTTTGTGCTCCTGCCTGCCATCCGAGCCGGGAGCTGCGCTGTGATCGCGGAAGCCGTTGGCGGCGGACGTGGCCCCCGACGGTTCCCGGGCGCCGTTGGTGCCCGCTTGCCCCGCCGGGTCTGGTCGACCTTCCATCGGCACGGATGTGACACTCTGCAAGACAGCGGAGGAGATGATTTTTTTCTTTAACGGCCTCTGATTTTCGATCTCCGGTTAATTCGAGTCTCTTACCTCCTTTGGCACTTGCGATCTGAGGGAGGAGGACTGGTGGGGCACGCTGCTACCGGACAGAATCTTACTGTGCTTCCTGACGAGGGTCGACATTTGGCTGTCAAAAAAAAATTCAGCCCAAAAATTGAAACGAGGACAACAGCCTCACCTTTCAAAGGGAACCTTTTTGAGCTCGGCGTCTTTCACATAATCAATGATCTGCTTCTGGGTGCGACCGCTGCAACGAAAGGGCACCAAAGGACAACGTTGAAAGAGAAATCGAGGGTGGAATACATGGCAATCGTCCAGTCAAAATCAGGAATGCTTTTTCTTTGCACTCCGTTTCCTTCAAAAATGACTGACAATTGATTACCTGAAGCGGAATGAGGATCCTCTGGTGAAGAGGATGGGCTTGGGTTTGGGCTTGGGCTCCTCGAAGAGCCGAAAGAAGGCGTGATACTCGACGCAGATCTTCCAGAAGATTTTACAGCAGTCCCTGCTGGCCATTGCAAACTCCAGCGTGTCATGGTGACCACTTTGCTGCAAGGAGAAGAAGAAGAAGGCGGGCATAAGGAGAACCGGAGCGAAAGAGTGGCTTCATATCGAAAGGGGCTGTGGGGGGGAAACTTACGGCAGGGTCACCTCTCAGCTTGATCAGAAACCGTTTGCGTTTGAAGCTGAGTTTGCGAATCTTCGACCAGTTGAAGGCATTTATTTTGGTGTACCCCTGAAAGGAAAACGTATGCGCAGACGCGGGGTCACGTAAAAAAACAAAACAGCAACAACCACAACGTTCTACACCCCATCTCTCCCGAAACAAGTTCAGAATATTTTGTGGTCAAATGTTCTTCCGAACTTTCCATGCGGTACGGATGTTACCTGGAACACGAGCACGCCGGTGTGGGCCACAGCCAAGCTGAGTTTGGTCCCCTCGCGGTCCTTTGCTGGGTGGAGGCGAACGCCATACATTTCAAGCCGCCGGGCGATTTCCAGGAGCTGGTAGTCCGACTCAGCGGGGGTCTGTCCGCTGGGGGAGGAGAGGGAGGGGGGCTGTCACTCAAGACACCGACCTCGTGCTCATCGAGCCGATGGCTGATTGATGAAAACGTCTGCTGTTCACGTGGCCGCGGGCTGAAGGTCAACCACGTGTCAAGCGACGGAAGGAGCATCTTTGGTGTTTTGGTGTTTGTGTTGCGCTTTCATGAGACCGCAGTGATGATCGAGCCGATTGAAATAACGGCGCGCTTTAAAATGCATACAATGAGCTCAGACGGCCTTGTTTGCCATGCAAATCTGAAAATGCCTTCCTGTTTCCTGTATACGCCGCTGAATTGGCCACTTCCTTCCTGCATCGGCTGAGGGATTGGGGCGAGGGGGGGGCTGAGGGACGGGCCGCTTCGGGTTTCAGTGTTTATCTGCCGCGCTTTGCACTTGGAAATGACGTGGATATGCAAACAGTGGAACAAAACGTGCGCACGTTCTCCCGGGCGCGTGTTTGCGGATCGCTCCGCTCCGCGGGGGGAGTGGCAACAAACGGATGTGCGCAGAGGCCAAGTAAGCAGTGCAAAAATGCTGGTTGAGTTGGGGCGGGAGGTCAGGGGGAAAGTTTCTGTGCTGCTGCCAGCTCCAAAAAAAAGGTGTGTGTGTGTGTGTGTGTGTGTGTGTGTGTGTGTGTGTGTGTGTGTGTGTGTGGAGCGTGGGGGGCGGGCTGCATAAAAATTGGTGTCGACAGGAAAATAAAAGCCAGGATCTTGTTTCAAGGAACAAGAGGGGTAGGGTGAGAGACGCTGCCGTGGCACACACACGAACGAGGACTGCGTGAGCAACTGCTCCAAAGTGTTTGGATCACTGAAAAACGAAAAAGCAAAAAGGTGGTGAACCCTTTCATGGTAAAAAGTCGCGGTGCGCCAACACGTAGGCTCTCGTGAGTGCCACAGCCCTGCATGTGTCTGTTTATAGGAGAGAGAGAGAGAGAGACGGAAATCTGCTGGAAGGTCAGGATTGCGAGTGGGTGTGTCGTGCGCGAGATAGCAATCTGGTGCAAGACCTGCGGTGGACGTCTGCGTTTATGGCTCCTGACAGCCTTCTGGAACCGATCCCCATGTTGATGTTGAACAAGCACGTCTAACCTCAACCGGTGCTTTCTCCGTTGGGCCTTCTTCAACGCCAAGACCCTTTCGCCGCGTTTGCCGGTTCATCTTTGACCATGTCCAGATGTCGTCTGTCATTTCATTGCCGTACCGCATCGTTTCTTTGAAACACCCTCACTTTTTACGTCTGTTCTTGTCACGAGTGTAGCATATGCCGTGATCTATGGGCTTTTTCACCCTTCACGTTTCAGATTGCAGCCGCAATGGTCAGGTTAGGAACGTAAATATGTTAATAAATACATTGTTTCTCGGCAGTAGCCTTTTTCTTATTTTCGACAGAATTCAACATTCATCCGATAGAATGAATGAGGACGTCATTCATTTACACCGGCAAATTGCAGTTTGCCATTTTGGCACGTGAATTTGCTCCCTTGTGCAAAGTTATGACATCATATGGTAGAAAACACCAAGTTTCAATTTTCATGTATCGAGTCTGGAATGAAACCATTTTGCCCCAACCGTAGGCTGCAATGGTTCATAAATGGGAAGCGATGAGGACACAAATGGGCGGCATTGAGGCCTCGAAAGCTACAGTCGCGTGTGAGAACTCACACGTGTTTGCGGTGGCAGTCGGTGATCTTGTCCCGGATGGCGTCTTGGTCTGGCAGGTATTTATTGTGGAGGAGATGCTGCCAGCTCTGGGTGTCATCAAAGTCTCCGATCTCGGCTGAATTTGGGGGGGGGCAAGGCACAGACGGAGAGAGGTGAATTGCAAAGGCAGGGTGGAAAAACGCACAGCACAAGAACGCGTTTCATTTCGGCGACAATCTGGACAGAGTTGCAAATTCAATCGTTTCTTTTGTCACTGTTCGACTTCATCTGCAATTGGGCTCAGCGAAACAGCGCTCAAGCCGTTCCAGAAGACGGAGCCGCACCGACAAGGCTGGCGAGAAACTATTCCACATCATGATTTTTCAATCAAACAAGGCAGACGGACACGCTTAGGGGAAGGAATTGACTTGGGAGTCAGCCAATCCTCCACGAAGCGTCTCCAGTTGGTCCGGAATGCTGCGGCTCGCCTCTGGTCCTCCGAAGACGGGGGCGCATCACGCCGACTCTGGCATCGCTTCACTGGCTCATTTTCGCGTTTTTTTCCAAGATCGTATGATTTGGTTTCAAATCTTCAAAACTCATTTTTCTTCTTTGGCTTTTGACTCAACATGAGACTTTAATTTTTAGTTGAATTGTTTTTGTGCTTTCTACTTTTTTTCTTTGGCTTTTGACTCAACATGAGACTTTGATTTTTAGTTGAATTGTTTTTGTGCTTTCTACTGTTTTTGTTCGTCATTGATTGTTTTGTTGTTTGTTGTTGTCGCAGCAGTGGTTGTTTTCAAGCGCTCCGGAAATACGCTCGAGTTGAATCCTGTCCAACTTTGTTTCGTTTGCAACGACAGCACATTGCAGTCATTGCTGCTGAGTGTACTAGGTCCGATTTTGCCTCGATCGTGACGATGGTCGCGCAAGACGTAATTGTAAATGTTCGGTCTTTTGTTTTGTGTCAAGCAAAAGTCATTGTAGCTTATGTGCTTCTTCCCGACCCCGACAATTGCAAAAGCAAACGCGTGTCGCGGTTTGCCAACGGCGCTCGCGGCGCGTTCCCTGCATTCGGCAATCCACGTGCCTCCATTACTGTTTTTGTTCGTCATTGATTGTTTTGTTGTTTGTTGTTTTCGGAGCAGTGGTTGTTTTCAAGTGCTCCGGTAATACGCTCGAGTTGAATCCTGTCCAATTTTGTTTCGTTTGCTACGACAGCACATTGCGGTCATTGCTGCTGAGTGTACCAGGTCCGATTCTGCCTCGATCGTGACGATGGTCGCGCAAGACGTAATTGTAAATGTTCGGTCTTTTGTTTTGTGTCAAGCAAAAGTCATTGTAGCTTTATGTGCTTCTTCCCGACCCCGACAATTGCAAAAGCAAACACGTGTCGCGGTTTGCCAACGGCGCTTGCGGCGCGTTCCCTGCGTTCGGCAATCCACGTGCCTCCTGCTGAAAACAGCTGGCCCACTCCACAACAACAGTCTGAGTGTTCGGAGACATCAAAGCTGGGCTTTGTGTTCCGCCCGTAAATATGCTTAAAACGAGGCGCGGGCGGACCCGATTCAGAAACTGCTCCCAGAAGCGCGTGCGTGCGTGCTTATGTGTAGAACCTACTGAGTCAGCTCCTCCATGATCTGCGTGTGGTCGGGAGGGAAGAACTTGACCACAAAACGAAGAATGGTGTTCTTTGGCCCTTGAATGACGGAGGGGAGACAAAACACAACGATTGGCAGCGCAACGTAAGGCAGAACGCATCGCTTGATCATGTCACAAAGAAGCCCGAGACTCGCGGCAATTTTATGGAGCTTTTACGCGTTGCCGTGGGTTACCATTCCTTGGACTCATAACACGGCGGCCTGTTTTTCTCCAAGTGGGAGAGCCGGTCTGAGCCCATCGTCAAGGATGACGATGGGACTTTGTCATCTTTTTTTGACTTGAAAAAGCTCTGTTGTCGAGTTAGCTGCCGGTTGTTGTTCATGTTCTCACCACCGCACTGCTTTTGCACGCCAGCTCCCGACACAGGGTTACCAGAAACACGCCCACTCCATCTAGTGGTGACAGCTGGCCCACTCCACAACAACAGTCTGAGTGTTCAGAGACATCAAAGCTGGGCTTTGTGTTCAGCCCGTAAATATGCTTAAAACGAGGCGTGGGCGGACCCGATTCAGACATGACACCTGCTCCCAGAAGCGCGCGCGTGAGTGCTTATGTGTAAAACCTACTGAGTCAGCTCCTCCATGATCTGCGTGTGGTCGGGAGGGAAGAACTTGACCACAAAACGAAGAATGGTGTTCTTTGGCCCTTGAATGACGGAGGGGAGACAAAACACAACGATTGGCAGCGCAACGTAAGGCAGAACGCATCACTTGATCACGTCACAAAGAAGCCCGAGACTCGCGGCAATTTTATGGAGCTTTTACGCGTTGCCGTGGGTTACCATTCCTTGGACTCATAACACGCCGGCCTGTTTTTCTCCAAGTGGGAGAGCCGGTCTGAGCCCATCGTCAAGGATGACGACGGGACTTTGTCATCTTTTTTTGACTTGAAAAAGCTCTGTTGTCGAGTTAGCTGCCGGTTGTTGTTCATGTTCTCACCACCGCACTGCTTTTGCACGCCAGCTCCCGACACAGGGTTACCAGAAACACGCCCACTCCATCTAGTGGTGTTTTATTATACTGAAATCATTCCCACAGCCTCGATACGGACTGTGGAGTTATGCAAAGCACTTTATTCTTGTTATTATTATTGTTTATTATTATTATTATTTTTTTCTTAAAAACACCAGAAACGCATTTATACGTTTTGGCACTAAAGGATAGGGTTTTTGCAAACGTATTTTTCCGTTTAGACATTCAGTGAGTGCAAATGAGAGTCCAAGGCATTTTATGTCACGTACGTCGGATCTGCTTCATCGTTGGCTTCAGCAGGTCCAGCCATACCTGCGTGAAGGACAGAGTGCAACATTGAGGTCAAAGTTCCAAAGACATGCTTTAAAAATGAGTTTGCAACGTCATGCGCAGCTCACTGTCATCTTGCGCTGGTCCTGGTACTCCAGCCCAAAGTAGTCTCCCTCCACCAGGTTGAGATGGACGCAAATAAGGTCAAACAGCACTTTGCCGGGGGAGCGTTGCTGGAACAGAGATCAAATGGAGGAACCGGGTGAACTTGCGGCTTGAGGCCACGAGGGTGGAGAGCGCTGATGTTGAGGAGAAGGTTGCCTTTTTCTTTTTTTGTGAGGGTCTAATTAGATGGTTCACATCAGAATGAGGCTGCAAGTCTGGATGCCCCACCCCCCGACCAACGACAAGCAGCTGATCCTGAACCCGACTGACAAGTGCAGGCTTGAGTTTTGGGTGCACGGCTCCCTGTGTTTAGAAACAACCGGCAGGCCAAAAGGGAAAAGCTGCGAGTTGCTCATCCAGTGGTCTCGGCTGTGCTCTGGCATATGAGCGATGCCAAAACACACGCAGCTGTGGGACCAAACCTTAAATTAGCCAGGATCGGGGTTTTTTTCCGGTCATACTGGGGCTGAGCAGTGAACCAGAAGCACAAAGACTTAAAATAAATATTTGATTGTCTGAAAAAAAAAATCAGGTGCTTGTATGGGTCATGTAACGTGATGCCCACAAGCAAGTGGGAAAAAAAACATCAATCAATACAAACCAAACATTTTTGGAGAGCTTCTCCATCGAGTAGAAAAAGGCCAGACGATGAGACACAATATTAGCAGTCTTACTTCAACTCGGGGTTTCTCACCGCAGGTTATTCCGATGCAACGAGTCTGCCCCGCGCGATAGGAAGTGGCAGGCTGGCAAATAAGACAATAAAGCCTTCAAAACTGCTTCAGCAGGTGTAGTTATGTTCTGGATTTCAAATCAAGGCAGAATCACCACGTGCGAACCAAGTTACTCTCATGACGGCCACAGGTGGGCTGGAGGCTACCCCAGATGACTTCAGGCAAGAGGTGGCACATATGCCTGCTTTTGGAATGGAGGAGGAAAAGAGAGGAAAAAAAAAACAGGGTGAACACAGGAAGGCCACAGCCTGGACACAAGCCCGTGACCTCTGAACTGTGAGGCGGATGCGCGAACCAGTTAGCTACCGCGCCTCCGCAGAACATCCACATTGCCCCAATGATTTCCTTTCTTGCATTTCCAACATTCTATCTTTGTGGAGAGATATTTTCTGCCACGATGGTGACCGAAAACAAAATCACGCAACAACTGGACATCATGAACACACTTCGTGTTTCATTGACTCCAAGATTCGACCGGAGAAACAAGCGCAGGTCTCCCGCTTATGAGAACTACAATCAGCATAATGGTTGGTGTATTTGGTTTTTTGTTTGTTTTGTGCGGCAAAAGGTGTGAGCCAAGTGGAACGCCATATGGCTAGCGTGTGTGTGTGTGTGGGCCTCCTGAATAGACAAATCCGCCCAGGCTACCCCAGATGACTTCAGGCAAGAGGTGGCACCTATGCCTGCTTTTGGAATGGAGGAGGAAAAGGGAGAAAAAAAAAAAAACGGTGAACACAGGAAGGCCACAGCCTGGACACAAAAAAAAAAGGGATGACATGAAACCTGGGTGTGTTGGGGATGCCCGACAGCCGGATGCCATCCCATCTGTGATTAGCCTCCTGAACATTGTTACCGTAAGAAGACGAAGCGTAATAAACAGCTGATTACAGGATGCCGTTTATTTTCGTGCAACTGATACCCAAAACCGTGGCCTCGTCACCATAAGAGCTGGAATGCATTCCAGCGGACAGATAATGGCCAGACATAGTTCACGCGTGATACTAGATACTTGATACAAATCAGTGGCGGATGCTGGTCTGTCAAGGAGGGGAAGCTCAATTTCGGCCTGCATCATAAAATGTGTCCGTTTATTTAGACGTGCATTCTACTCTCCGTTCCTTTTCAAAAAAATGATCTCTGATGTGTGAACTACAGAAATAAAAGATTAATTTGTCGCTAGTCGTTTTCAACAAAGAGAGTGTCGCTAAAATGATTAGAAGAAGTCTCCAGTTCAACTCAGAATAGAATGAAAATGCTCCCACGGATGCCTACAACAAAAGATCGGTGATTGGCTCATTTCGCTGTCAATCAAAAAGAGAGTCAGCCTCAGACAGATCATCCAATCATCATGCAGACAAGCTCACGGCAGCCTTCTTCCAAACAGCAACTTGAAAACTGGCAAAAACTGCCCATGAAATCACAATTTTATCGGACGAGAGAGTCGTCGATGTGATATCGAAGAGGGGTTCAAATGTTTTGTCAACTTGGAAAAAATGTCTGGGGGCGGGGGGGGGGGGGTTGTTTTCCTTCTCCAAATAGTATTTGGGATTATTGCATTTACTAATCATCATTATATTCATCCAAAGATTTTTACACGTTGGTGTTAAAGTGCTGATGATTTCATATTCTTATATTGAGCGGACCGCGCTCCAGGCAGGGGGTTGAGGTTCGATACGAGCTGCGTATTCAGAAGCGGGACCCGTAGCATACCACGGTGGCTCCTCACGGTGGGAGTAATTCAAGAGCTGGAGACGCGGGCCGGGCCTCAATAGCCGTCTGGCCACGTGCCCGCAAAAGGCATCATACAAAATGTCCGGGACCAGAATATCCAGATTCCGCCGTCAAAATCTCCTTCCAGACTTGCATGAGACAATCTGTCGCTTTGAAACTTTGCTCTCAACGGGGTTGTCCAACAAGTAGTTCAAAGGGAGGGCAAAAGATCATTTTTCCATCCCGTCCGCGGCCATTTCGGTGGCGTTTTCGCAAAGTGACTCATGCGGCTTTTGCAGCAGACAAATTATAGTCATCCCGCTCCTCTATTCAAAGAGGCTGCAGAAAACACATGTGGCGAGAGGCAAGGCCGCCTCCACGCAGCAAGACTGTTTTGTTTTGCCCCGCCGTGAAGAACGCTACCTTGGCAATCCCAAAATCCGAAACGTTTCACACGAGCTGCGCCACAAATATTCCGTGACTGACGTCAGAAAAGCCATATTTTCTAACCTAAGCCAAAAGGAGAGTTTTGTCCTTGAACATGGGCCGGGCGAGCGACCGGCACATTGACAAAGAGATCCCATTGCCCTTTGCTTCAGTTCGTGCGCAAGGAGAGGTGAAAGTTGAGGCGGGACAACTTGCGGCTGCTTGACTATGACAACGCCCTGAGCGTCCCGCTGTCACGTTTCGGTCGAACCGAAATGTTTTGGATCCCAAAAATTGTGGACTCCAGACACTACTGTACTTGTACTCCGTAACAAAAAGGTTTAATATAAAAAAAAATAAATAAATTGCACCAACAAAGTAGTAACATAAAGCGCTGGTCAACACAAGGACCAGGGAACACAAAAAGTCAACAAGAACCAAAAGCGCTTGAACTAAAGGCAAGGAAGGAAAACAAACCCGAGACTACAAACGAAAAACAATGTATCAGATACACGCAGAAAAAGCCAATTCACTAAAACAAAAACAATACTTACAAAACCAATGGTACCGAGAGATCAATAGAAAATACGACGAGGTCTATAGCAAAGGTCTATGAGCAAGGAATAAAGCAGTGAGGCAAAACAATTCTCCGACAACCAGCAAACTGTTTGTGGGTCCATGAATACAGTTTCCTACTTGCAAGATTGGCAGCAGGTGTGCAACCAGCAAGACCGCTCAGTCTGCCACCTGCTGGCCAGGCCAAGAACAGGAACATGACACCCGCACTTCCTGGCAGGGAAAAACTTCGGCGCGCCGGAGCACCGAAGCGACTCACGCAGCCTGGCTCGATGCCTGCCTGCAATTGCTCCGTTGCGATGATTACTAGCATGAAAAGGGAAGCTTTGGAATCTGTCAGAAAGTGCTCCGGGAGTTTTGAACTGGATTTTTGGTGCCTTTCGAAATGCTGCAAAAGGAGATTTGGAAACGTGCAGCGCACCGTCATGTGCGGAACTCGCAGGGACCGGCACAAATGGAAACCAGATGGGTGAGACGGACGATAAGAATCCGTTGAGGAAGAAGAAAACTGAATTAAAAAATAAATAAAAAATAGCAAAGCATCTCCAATGCTACTCTTCCTCGGGTCCCCTGCTGTGAATTCCAAAAGGAAGCTTTTTTGTTTCTTTTTCTGCAGCTGCTTGTCAAGCACATGGCACAAGAGAGTCTACTTTTTGTTTTGACTTTCAACATGACCGTTACTTGGCCGGTCCAGATGGGAAAACACTGGAAATGACTGGCAATAAGCTTCTCCGCTATTCAACTCCAGCTTGTCTTTCAAAAGCTGCTATTGACTGAGACGCTGTGTCCCAACTTGATCTCGTACGAGCCTAAACGAGCGCTGGAAAAAAAAAAAAAAAAAAAAACACAGATCAAACTAGCCAATCTGCATGACGATGCACCACAAAATTAAAAACAAAGACAAAAAGCTAAATATTGTTATTCCATAATTTGGTGTGTGTGTGTGTGTGTGTGTGTGTGTGTGGGGGGGGGGGGCGCATTTAGCCAGACAGCTGGGAGAGGGCTCCTCCTTCCTCATCTGTCTACCAATCACAGTCTCTGGCTCAGATTAGGTTAAACGGCTTAACCCCGCTGGCAAGACGTCAAAGTCGCATCCTTGACCACACAAGCAGATTCAAAAGAACTCGAATCAACTGAACTCAACTCAAGTGTATTTCGAGAGCGCTTGAAAGCAACCGCCGTGGTCTACAAAGTGCTGCACACGGAGCATACGACAAACAAACAATGAAACAATACATTTCATAAAGACTGTAGAACAGCACAAAAAGTCTCATGCGGAGTCCAAAGCCAAATTTGCCGGTCCACTTTCAAATCAGCGTCCAGTTGAAGACCCAAGTTGCAGAGTGTTGGCTTCACATCAGGAGCCGGGGGGCCCCAAGTCGGCAGCGTGGGATGGACAAGGGCCACTGGGACCAAACGCCATCACTTCTGTCTTCTTTTCATTGAAATTCAAAAAAAATTCAGCGGCATCCACGTATTGGATCAAAGTGGCCTCCGTGAGAAAGCGTCCTTTTAGCTCTGCGAGACATCGATCGGACAGTCATCCGCATTGCAGGGGAAGGAAAGACCTTCCACTTCGGATGGAACCCAATGGGAGCAGATCCAGTGAGAACAGAACAGGCCCCAGAACGCGCACACAGTCCGGCATGGCAAGCAACCTGCTTGCACACACAGCAAAGCGTTCTGGGCAGTCAGTCTGGCAACCTACAGGTGAACGACAGCGACGTGTTGGGGTGCCGCTGCTATGTGTGTGTGTGTGTGTGTGTGTGTGTGTGTGTGTGTGTGTGTGTGTGTTATGCCTCACAGCACAATTGAGGAAAACAAATTAAGTACATGCACAGCCATGTCCCATTAACCCCCCCCCCCAAAAAAAAACAATTTGCATCCTGTGCCAGATGGCGGTGGGGTGGAGTCGGCCTCCCACAACCATGAGCCACGTACATTTCCTGCCTCTGAGAAAGAGAGAGAGAGAGAGAGAGAGACAGACACACACACACACACACACATACTCACACACGTGCTCACGGCTCTCTCTGAAAATCCAAATGTTCAAGATCACAACTAACCAATTGGAGTGTCGGATTATTTCATTCATGAAACCAAAACAAACAATTGGGGCAGGGCGTCTGCAACGTATGGCTCATGGGCTTCATCGGGCCAAGTCCGCTCTTGAATCCGCACCACCGAGCATAAAGTCACTCAAGATTTTTCCTAAAATTGGTCCCTCCAAATGGAGATATTCTTTTTGAATGAATCGCCGATTTATCTCATGAAATAAATGTTAATTTATGCAGATCACAAAAACATTTGCAAACGACACCACTTTTGTCTCTTAAATACTTGTTTAATTTCATAAAATACACTTTCAATTGTTTTTAGAATATTTGTACATCAAAACAAAGTGTAAAATAAAAGGTACCAATATCGATATATTTTTGTGAATCAATTTGAAAGAAAAAAATGTTTTAAAAAAGCCCAAATGAATGCATTATCATGAAAATAAGTGATTTTCCTTTTATTTTGAGGACATAATTGCTCCGTTCATTCTGGACCGCCTCTCTGGGGTCGGGTCACGTGCGCAGCAGGACACAATTATGAATTCATGTCACGACCGTCATGACAAGCAATCCACTTCTAAAATGAGCATGAATTCGCTGTTATTCAAATCAATGATAAATAAAACATACATCCCATGCACATGACTGTCTATTGTTTTTTTTTTTTTAAATGAAAGACAAAATCCCCAAATAAAAAAGTGGCCCTTGAGCTCAAAAGTTTGCCCAGCTTTTCGTCTCCCCTCTTCTTTCTTTGACTGAAAGTCCAGTTCTGCTAAATGGCTTCAACATGGAGCCTTCAATGATGAATGACATCGGCCTGAAGGGGGTCCTCGGGGGGCATCCCATGCGCAGACTGAGCATTGTGCACTGGGACCGGGGTGAAACACCTCCACGGGGGGGACGGATGCGGGCGGTGAATGCCCTCGCTCGCTTTTTGAGCCAAATCGCTCGATTCCTCCATGACAGCGAGCGGAACAGCACCCCCCTTTGGGCCCCCATCCCGCTTCCCTTTCACTCAGAAACCGTCTGCGGCTCCCTGAGTCCATCTCGCATTCGTTGCTCTCTCACCGCATTTGTGCTTTTGGAGAGGACGGCTCATTCCTTCGACCCAGCACGTCCCGATACTTCCATGTGGCTCTCCGTGCAAAAAGCACTGGATGAACGGAAGCTGTCACGGGCAGGATCGCTATTCGGTCCTCCGCTTTAACGGAAGTCTCCGACCACAGGAATGAGGCAGCCAATGCCGACTATTGCGTAACACGGAGCCATTTGTGTGCGGGATGCGGGCATGCGGCGTCCATGTGATCAGTTGGGATGAGAAATAGCCACTGAAGGCTCAGATGTGCTGTAACATACAACGTTATTTCTTGGGACTGGCAAAGTGGTGCCGTTGTTAACGCCAGCTTCTTCCATTTTGGGCAGTGGGCTAAGGTCAAGCCAGCCCCTCCTTTTTCCAGAGCATTTCGTCACATCCCGGCTGGACTACCATCATGCACTTGCCAATCCTCCATTCCAGTTGGTCCAGAATGCCGCCGCTCGCCTCTTGACTGGTTCTCTTATAAAGAGGGAGCGCGTCACTCCTCCTCTGGCATCCCTTCACTGGCTCCGAATACATTTGAGAGTTCTTTGGATGATCCTCTGATTTGTTTTCAAATCTTGAAATGGCCTGGCCCCACCTTACCTCTCTGAGCTCCTGCGCATTTTATAATACAAACTATCTTTATGATTTCATGGACCTGTGGCCAGGAAGGAAAGTGAGTATAGTCTGAGTTGCCAAAACACGAGTGCAGTGAGCAAATGGGGCAATCAAACATTGTCAAAAGCTTTCAGAATATCAACACTCTCCTTTATTCTGTTGGCCCATTGACTCTCATTTTGGCAATCTTGCTTCTTCTTTGACAATCACACCATGTTTTTGTGGTTCAAAGTTTTGAGAACAAAGTTATGGATTTGAAATTCTCTTGATGAAATACGACATGGACCACAGAGCGCTTAAAGACTGCTTGAAAATCATCTATGAGTGTCTCAAACAAAAGTGGCCCCGCCGCACAAGCGTTGAGTCCATCATTCTCCTCTGTGAGTTTGAATCAAGGAATGCTTTAACATGATCATCGTCCTATTTTTATTAGAACTCTTAAAGTATGTTTCTCATCAAAGAAAGTGAGTGCGTTGAATTTACAGAATCCATGCACGTTGTTGCCCTAATTTGAGCCGGGAAAACCCCCGCAGGATGTCCAGTAACTGGGGACTCCGATATCTTTGGTCCCCGGGGGACGGCGAGCGAGATGAAGTGATGTCGCGTATGCTACACTTCTCCCCCTTAATCCTCTCTCGTTGTCACCTATCATGATTTGATCTCTTTTGCTCCACCCACCCAGAGATCAAAAAGCCACAATCCAATCATGCAACAAAAAAACCCCACACAGTAATCTTGTTGCTCCTGAGCACGCACACCCGCTTGGTCTTTAAAGCCGCTGGCGTCCACCAAAGATATCAGTCATGATGAGGACGTATGGGAAGAGTCTTATGGAGGGGAGGGGGAATGGGGGTGGGGTGGGGGTAATAAAGTCAAGTAAGATTGCCGCATGAGAAGAAATTATTGACTAATTCGAGACCTGTGGTTGGGAAAGGACCCAGTGGTTGTACGAATCAGCCATAGTGGGAGTCTCGGAGGCTCGGGGGGGGCATTGCGCAAAGCGATAGACTTCACTGCTCCCCAGGGAATATGAAAATGCTGCAGACGTCTGCAGGGTCGTACGAGTGCAAATTAGCAAACGGGGATACATGTTCAATGTTACTCATTATCCGGAATGTTCCGTTATCGCAAAACAACAAGGAACAAGTCACGCGCCTTCCGCAACGACCACCACCAGCCGGCATCATCGGCGTGAGCTTCGCTTTCACACGTTAGGTGGGACAACTGCACAAACGTGGCAGAGGACACGATGAGGTGAGACAACGGCTCCCTTGTTTTCAGAGTCGGTGAGAACAAGCGGTGCCGGTCAAAGTCTTTCATTCGCTTCCTGTCATTGACGCGCTTTTTTTTCCTTTCCCTTGTCTACAGACACGAGCCAACGTACGATGCCTTCACCAATGGACAGCGCTACTCGGCAGTCTTCCTCACTATACGTCCACATTTGAATGACACAATTGAGCGTCGGAATTTCCTGAGTTGAAATAAATGTCAGGCTGCATCGTTGAGTAAATGTCATGATTATCGCCCCGGGCAGCCTCTCTGAAGTGATGTCAGTCATACTATACAGTGGTGCCTTGAAATACAACTTTCATTGAAATGAATGGAAAAGTCAGTCATCCGTTTGTCACCCCTCCCCCAAAAAGAAACAACAACAAAAAAACCCACTCGTACTATAATATTGTACATTATAAAATAAATTGGAGTCAAAAAATAAATCAATAGAATGTAAACATTTGAACAGCTGTATTGTTATATTGACGGTCTCTACGTCTTGCTCCACCATTTGTGTTCCAACATCTGGTTGCGGCTGCAACGGCGCAACACCAATGCTGTTTGTTAGCCCGTCCGTGGCGTTTTGCATTGTTTGTGAGCAAAAAGATGACTTTTCAAAGCCAAAGTTGTGTGGGTGCATTAAATATGCAAATTTCATTCTTTATTTGATGTTTAGTTTGACCATAAAGTTCAACTGGGAGGAGCTTGAAGCCTCTCTTGTCAACAATCGCTCAATATATGTACCGTGTCTGCCAAACAACAGCTCGTATCTTAAGAAATCTTAAGTCAACTCACTCGCATCTCAAGGCACCACTGTAAAGGTGTGAGCAATGTCATTCCCGTGCATAGAAAGGCAGACATGCCATTTTAGTGAGGCACTTTTTTTTTTTTAAACCATGGTGTGACGACTCACATCAATGATTTGCATATACGCCTTTAACTTCTCAACTATAATCTGTCTCTCTGCGCTTGAGTTTGTTCTCTGTGCATAGTCCCTCACAAAACCAAAAAATGAACTTCATAAAGACAGTCCAGTGAAAAGGCTTCCTGCGCATGACCAGCAGAGAGTATGAGATCGGGCTCAAAGGCCTCGTCATAAAAGACACCGCGACAAAGGAAGGACTCAAACCGCTGCGCCCGAAAGACGCGGCTCACTGACAAAAGGACAGATCAGACAGGTGACGGATCAAAGGCGAACACTTCAATCGCTCAAGAGAGATCGGAAGGAACCTGCGAGCGCCGCAAACTTTACTCACCGATATCTGGAAGACTTCCTGTGTGTCATCCAACATCTGCACCCTGAGAGAGACTTTCCTCCCCGGCGCCTGCGTCGGCGGCCGCAGACCAGGCTCCAGGGTGGACACCCCAAAGCTTTCGGGGGCGCCCAGCCTATGGCCGGTGGCGGAGGCTCCGTCAGCTGGCTCAACCATGGCGGAGCTGGTGGCGCCCGCTCTCGATCCGTTCCCGTCTGCTGGAGAAAGAGAAGAAGAGATGTGATTCGTCTCTCAACGGCTGGACGACTCGCTCTGTTTTTTCCAAATGAAATCGGCTGCGACCTCTCCAGTCAGCTATATGGGTCGTTTTCTTTTTTTTTTTTGGGGGAGTATTTGAGCTCTTGAAAAAGCAGGCACATTCCACTTGGGCATTTCCATTCTTGGGCCCCTCACTCTAAATGAGCGCCATTTGCGAGGGCTGTAAAAACAAGACATTTGACCAAAAGCAGGGTTGAAGATTTGCGCTCCTGGAAAACGAAGCAGTGACTGAAAAAGACGTCGTGTTGTTAACCTGTGTTCTATGGGGGCAGCGTAGTGACCAAGGAAACAAAATCACGCGCGCTCAGCAAAATTCACCGGCGATGTTGTTTATGAGTCGGGCCGATGGCAAGCGCGTCAAACTGACACACACAGGCGAGATCGATGGCGTTTTCCCCACAAGCCGACCGGTCCGGGCTTGTCAAAGCGTCACAAGTGGGGCAGATGAGACACGGTCTGGGAATACACAAACGCACAATCCCCAACACACACCCAGCAGCACATGAACCTTTCACCAACACACACACACACACACACACACACACACACACGCACACGCACACGCACACACACACATACGATAAACCAGCACCTCAGACAATAAATTTCCTCTCAGACGGTCAGTGACATCACGTCTGAGGAATGTTTTAGAAGGTAATTCCAACACACACACACACACACACACACGTTTTCAGCCCCCAATTTTCTGGGGGAAAAAAAAAAAAATAACAAAAGACAGACAAAATAACTTATTTTTGTCTCTACACACACACGTTTTCAGCCCCCAATTTTCTGGGGGGGAAAAAAAAATAAACAAAAGACAGACAAAAGAACTTATTTTTGTCTCGTCTTCCTCTGAGGTTCCATTTGGTGCCATGCAAAGTGGTAAGACAACAACTCATTTTCATAAACTGTCCCGACAGATCAATAGGCGCATTGATATAGGCACATTTCCATGTATTGATTAACGTGTGAAGGTTCAACACACAGCCTTCCTACGAGTCAGAATGATTGTCCGTCTTCACATCTGGTACTTTTTGGAGACGTTCCCTTTTGCTTATTATGCCCGAAATGGAATGCGTGTGCTTTCAAGACTCCAAACAGCCCACTCACTGGAGATGGAACTCAAAAGAACTGGTCTGACCTTCAAGGTACACACGCGGACAAAACTGTTGCTCGCCCTGTCGATGAAAGACAAATCCACCGCCGTCACGAGGACAACTTGCAACTGCTCGCGGTAATCATGAATCGAGAATTTGCTGGAAAATAACCAATGAAAATCAAGCGTCATCGTGGTGGGCAAACGGAAATGTCGTACGCTACACTTCACGTCATCTTTTGTTGCGCAACTTTTTGACTGAGAAATTTCCCTGCGTCCCAAAAAACGCACATTGTTTGGAACTGTGCGTCCTGTGGGTTAATTTTGCGTCTCGGAACCGGGACGCAGAGG